AACTGAATAGTCAGGGCGCAGCAGCCCAAGCGCCATGATTCGACAGTGACTTGGCCCACCTAGCCTCCGCCACGGGACAATTGATGCAACCCGCAACAATCTCCCCCTCAGCAATTGCCCCGCTGGTATCAAACTCATGACCTTGGCTCTGATATTTCCAGTGAAGATTAGATCATCCACGTACAAGCTAACTATTAAAATATTACCTCTAATGTGTTTCGTGAACAAGGTATGTTCACTGGAGCAACGTGCAAACCTTTCTTTGGCAAAATATGCTTCAATTCTACTATACCAGGCTCGTGGGGCCTGCTTGAGCCCGTATAGAGCCTTCCTCAGCTTGTATACTTGTCCTTCTTTGCCTTTTTTGATAAAACCAGCAGGTTGGTGAACATAAATTTCTTCTTGAATTTCACCATGCAAGAAAGCACTTTTAACATCAAGCTGAAACACTTCCCATGCATTCTGAGCAGCCACAGCTAACAACACTCTCACTGTATCAAGTCTAGCAACGAGAGCAAAGACTTCTGTGTAGTTGATCCCAAATTTCTGAGCATACCCTTTTGCCACTAATCGGGCTTTATATTTTTCAACTTGTCCTCTTTCATTGAGCTTTGTTTTGAAAACCCATTTCACACCTATGGGTAACACGCCTTCAGGTGGGTCAACTAAATCCCATGTGTTGTTTCTTTCAATTGCTTTCATCTCAGTGTCCATGGCCTCCTTCCATTTCTGACTTGTACTAGCTTCCTCAAAGGTTTGAGGATCCTCAGAATTGGTCGTCAACATAGCTAGCAAGCTCTCCTCTTCTGCAAACAAATTGGTTTCATAATCTGTCATCCACAAGGGTTGTCTCTGAGTCCTTGTTGCCCTCCCTTCAACTGGAGGAACAATAGATTCAGAATTAGAAACTGGTTCAGGCGGTTCTGAATTATTATTGCTACCTCTAGTTGCAACAAGTTGAGGTGTAGAATCAACATCGTCACTCCCTTCTTCGTCTTGGCCCTCCATATCAAGAGCAAGAGGTGTACTCTCAGTTGTACCCTTGTGCCAATTCCAGCCTTTATCTTCTTCAAATACCACATCCCTGCTTACAATTACCTTCTTTGAAATGGGATCAAAGAGTTTGTAAGCTTTCGCTTCATCACTCACGCCCAAGAGAACACATGTGTGACTCTTGTCATCTAATTTGCTTCTTCTTTGATCTGGAATATGAACGTGTGCAACACAACCAAATGTCCGGAAGTAATCAACACGAGGTTTTATCCCACTCCATACCTCTTCTAGAGTTCCATGATCTATTGCAGTAGTAGGACTTCGATTTTGAATATGAACACACCATCTCACTACCTCAGGCCAAAAGGACTTCGAAACTTGCTTTTCATGAAGCACAGCTCGTACTGCATTCATGATGGTGCGATTCTTGCGCTCTGCAACTCCGTTCTGTTGAGGGGTGTAAGCAGCTGTCAGCTGTCTGGAAATACCTTGATGAGTGCAGAAATTTGAAAACTCCTTGGATGTGAATTCCCCTCCTCTGTCAGTTCTCAAACAAACAATATGAGTTCCAACTTCCTTTTCAACACATGCTTTGAAGCTCTTGAATGTATTGAAGGTTTCAGATTTTTCATGCAAAAAATAAACCCACGTTTTACGAGAATAATCATCAACAAAGCTCAGTATGTACCTTTTGCCACTGTTCGAAGCAGGTGATATGGGACCACATACATTAGCATGAACTAACTGTAATTTAGTTGATGCGCGCCAAGAACTTAACTTTGGTATGGTATCACGGTGTTGTTTACCAACAAGACATGTAGTGCATACAACTGTGGAAATTTTCAGTGAGGGTAGCCCGATCACCATTTGCTCCTGTGCGAGTGTATTGAGTCCTCTGAAATTGAGATGGCCAAATCGTCTATGCCACAATTGCATTTCCTTTTCTGAGATATCTTCCACTTGGAAACACCGAGAATGTTGAGGAAACATTGAGGCTGACAAATAGAACATTCGGTCCCCTCGCATAGTAGTGTGAATAATCAATCCTCTATCTGGATGAAATATTTTGCATGCACCATGTTGGATCAGAATGGTAAGCCCTTTCTCTTGAAGTTGTCCCAGACTTAAGAGATTGGTCTTGAGTTCTGGAACGTAATAAACATCTGAAATAACGTGAGCAATATTATTGATCTGAACCCGAATGTTTCCTTTAGCAGCTACCTCTAGTGTAGTATCATTACCAAGCTTGACAGTTTTATGGAGTCCTTCTTCATGTATTTCTGTAAACCAAAGCTTATTTCCTGTCATATGATTACTACAACCAGAATCCAGAAACCAATCCTCCATCTGAACAACATGTGTCACTTCTTCATATGCTACCAACAAAATTTCATCCTCGACTTCGGTTGCCTCTTCAAACGTTGTGTAATGGGCTCGTTTCTCAACTCCAGGGCATTCATATTGAAAATGTCCTAGCTTATGGCATTGAAAACATTCAATGAGTGCCTTGTTGAAAGGCTGTCTTCCACGGCCTCTCCCGCGCCCACGGTTTCCGCGGCCACGACCACGACCTGCTCCTTCTCTATCATCATGCGTAACTTTCAGGACTTGTTCCTCTGGTTGAGAACTTTGCATTCGTTGTTCATGAACGAGCAGGCTGCCATGAAGTTCATCAAGACTCAGAGTGTTCAAGTCATTGGACTCCTCGATAGAACATACTACATAGTTGAATTTTGTGGTTAAAGATCTGAGTATCTTGCTAACCACCGTGCTGGAATCCATTACTTCACCATTAGATTTCATTTTGTTAACAACACTGAGTGTGCGCCCTAGGTAGCTGTCAACCTTCTCTCCATCCTTCATCGCCAGTAATTCAAACTCACGTCGAAGAGCTTGGAGTTGAGCACGTTTGACCCTCATTGATCCTTGATATTTTTGTTGCATGGATCTCCAGATTGCCTGTGACGTGCTTTTGTCTAACATTGTTTCAAGAATTTCTCGATCAATAGCTTGAAACAAGAAATTCTTCACCTTTAGATCCTTTAGTTGTGCCTCAGCTACACTCCTCCTCTGCGCCTCAGTGGGTGTTGCACCAAGCGTTGGTATTCCGTCTTCCACGAGCTGCCATAGTTCTTTGCTGCGTAGGAAATTTTCCATAGTCATGGACCAGAAATCATAGTGTCCATCAAACCTTGGAATGGCTGGTTGAACAAATTTCTCTGAGGTAGTCATGGCTTTACACTCACGGTATCAGCGTTGCACTCTAGATCTAGATGCTCTCCTCACTCACCCTGGATCAGGCCCCTTGCGGAACTTTGATACCAATTGTTGAATCGAGCGCTTACCACTAGGCCAAAAGCTATAACTGATAGTCAAGGCGCAGCAGCCCAAGCGTCACGATTCGACAGTGACTTGGCTCACCTAGCCTCCGTCACGGGACAATTGATGCAACCCGCAACACATCTAAACTGAACAAATTCACTATAAAGGAGTAGTTTTGTTTTTAATCCACATTTCATGATTTAGAAGGCTTAATTATATAGTTTTTCTCAAGTTTTATCAATTCTACTCGTGTACTTTTTTTTTTTTTTTAATAATATGCATCTCACTTTAAAAGATGGTACGTACTACTATATTTTAATTTCGTATCATTAATTATTCTGAATCTTGTAATATAGTTTTAAAATTTATAATTAATAATAAATGAATAAATATAGATAACATATCAAGCACATAGTTTCAGTACAAGAAAATTGATACTTATAAGCAAGGGAAATTAGCAAAGAAAAAATTCTCTCACTATTCCAATCCTAAAAAACGACGAATTCGCGACAAATGAATCCCTCTATAAGTCTAAGCTAATTTGCAATAGATTAGTTAAAGATTTTATCGCTAATTAGTTAATAGGATTTGTTCTAACTTAGATAAGAAATTTTGATTTTAAATCTTTGAGAATGCAGTTGCATTAAAAGTTCAGGAGTAAATTTTTACTGTTTGTATATATTAGTTAGATGTTAAACGTATAGTATCCGAACAGCGTTTGTCTAGATAGACAAAAAAAAAAAAAAAAAGCACTAGTATTTCTTGAGACAACAAACTATACAAAATCTATATAAGTGATTTTAACTATTATCGTATCATAATTACATCTCAAAATTTTTGTGCGTAATTATTATTATCATCATTGATTTATATTTGTGAGGTAGACTAACTTTTGCCAGTTACAAAAAGAACACAATATATTTTGTCCTATTAATTGTTGATGTAAAAGAACCTTATTTACCCTAAGTCCTGTAAATATGTGCCATTAATGGTGGCAATATATACAAGCATCAACATCCTCCAGCTTAATTATGTATTTTTTTAAAAAACTTTCAATTAAATACGCCTCTCTATAAAACTAAGAAAATACGGTTCCCTCTACTGATTTTCTTTTAATTCAAATTTTAAATTATCATTTTTTATTAAATTTTTAAAATTGAATAAATTAAATTTCTCCTGTTTAAATCACTAACCAAAATATTAAATTTATCTAAGATAAAAATCTCAACATGGCCCCCTCTTTAAATCTTAATCATGTCTCGCATATTAGAAAACCTTTCATATTTAGTTTTCACTGATTTTCTTGCTCTTAAACATTTAACAATATTTCATATCTTAAAGCTAACAGAAATTCATAAATGTTTTGATAGAAAATATAAATTTTAGGGTTTGAGAAGAAAAAAAATATGATAAAAGGTATGAATTTATTTAATTTTTAAAAATAATTTACCCAAAAATATTGAAAGAAAAAAACTTAAATAATCTAGCTTGGGGTACCATAATTACAATTAACTCGTTTTTTTTTTATATACTTACTATTTCAAGTAGCCTTTTTCATATGGTCTCGATCAAAAGGTACCATCCTGATTACGTTCAACACATCAAAAGATGCATAGACCAAAGAGATATATTTAATTTTGTTTACTATATAAAAAGACAAAAGTGATATCAATTATATGCATTAATTTAATCAAAAAAAAATTATATGCATTAATTACCTAAATTCTTTTTTATAGTAATAAGCAAGCACAGATATAAGACACCAAAAAAAAAAACAAAAAATAAGCACAGAAGTCCTATTTAAAAAATAATAATAATAAAGAAAAGGAAAGATGTATATGGAACTTGAAGATGAATGAGTTTCCTAATCGTAGTCATCGTTCAATGTATTTCCTTTCTATATATCCAAGGATTCCCTCTTTCAAATTAATATCTTGTACTCGATCACAAGAGAATATATTATTGAACAAGATCTGGTTTCGTACTTGAGGGGAGTGATCCTGGTCACAAAATGGCCGAAGAGAATCAGCATATAATATTAGCCACTACGAACAATGATGAGAAGAAGATCATTCGCAGGGAAGTTGAAAAACAAAGGAGGACACACATGTCTGTTCTATGTGCATCTCTTCGATCTTCACTCCCTTTAGAACTCATCAAGGTCTTTAATTAACTTCCATATTTTCCTTTTATTACCAACTCATGATATGTATTACAGTTCTCGTAAGTCGTAACAGTTTTTTTAGTTTATGCTCGCTTCTTTGTTAATTGGTGGCTTCTGAGGATTATTTATAGATTTGCATAAGAAAAAGTGGGTTTTGGTTTAGATGTTTTCATCTTCATGTGGGGTTTACAGGGAAAGCGTTCGGCATCAGATCACATAGGCGAAGCTGTAAATTATATTCAAATTTTAAAGCAAAAGATTAATGATCTCCAAGTCAAGAGAGATAGGCTTAAACAGAAGGTTAATTCAAGTTTAGTTGATACTGAAATTGAACCAGATCATTCAGGTGCAGTAGTGAAGTGCGTCAACATCAATCACATTCCAGGGGGCGTGGAAATTTCCATATGTAGTGGATTCGCAGAGAGAAATTCTCCTTTATCAGAGTTAATGGAAATATTGCTTCAAGAAGGATGTGTTGTTGTTAGCTGTGTTTCGACCAATGCTAATGGGAGGATATTTCATACTATTAAGTCTGAGGTACCTACCTAATTAAGCTACTTAATTTTGTTTCTGCTAATACTTTAGGGTATGTCCACTGAAAAAAAAAGGACATTTTCTAAAGGCTTTCATTTGGCATGCTCTCATTGATATAGACTTTGATATAGACTTCTGTCTAATAGAGATTAAACCATTAATATAAACATGATAAGTTTAAGCTAATAATATGATACACAAATAATACATGTCAATTTCATATATTGTCAAAATTATTTGTTAGTATACAATTCATTATATATCAGCTTCCTAAAAAAAATTATCAAATTATGCTTCATTTTTGTGGTGTATGGGTGGAAGTGAGATGGAAAAGAAGTAGAGTATCTTAATAATAACCCTAACTTCTCTTTGTACTACCCATTGATGATTGGTGTACGTATGTCATTATTAGTTTCAAGTTTATTAGATCAAGTTATGTCAATGGAACAAATCTAACACTGGCTAATAGTGTATATTAATTATTTTTGTAATGATTAGAGTTTGGACAGTTACATGTACAACTGCATGCAACGTTCTGAGTATTAGAAATTGTTGAATAGGTGGAGGACTTGACACGCCTTGATCTTGCTAAGCTGCAACACAAACTGGACCATGCAATCTTGTTGTCAAGACAATTATATGCCGGTTGAGATGGCCATGAACAATTTGTGATTATGACTATGATAAGTGTTTTCAACTTTCATTTGTTAATTTAGATGTACTGGCTAATACATAATTAATGTTAAAGTTCTTCCTACTAAAGCATTGTGTGAGCAGGACAACTATGATGAGGTATCAATTTAACTTTGTTAATTAATTCATCAAATGTATCTGCTAGTACTTGATATATGTTTAATTTCTTCCTATTGCTTTACCCTGCCCATGTTTTCAATCTCCCTTATAACTTAGTTAAAGTTGCAGAACTTAAGATTTATTCCTGCTGTTTCCTCGATTTTGATTACTAACTGGTCAACTTGGTTTTTGTTGTTGTTATATCACGCATCATGAAACAAATATTTTAGTTTAACAGTAAATCTCATGTTTATGTACTAATGGTTTTAATCGTTAGAGAAGTAGCATAATAAGAGATGGAGAAAAATATGGATACATGCATTTTTCAAAGTTAGAGCTAGCATAAACAACAGATAATCTTTAATATTATAATTAAGTATAGCTACTTTAGTTCTTGACTTTTGTAAAATGAAATAAAAAGTAATTCATTTTAATCCCGTTTCACTTTATTTTTCATTAGAAAATTCAATAATTAAAATGACCAATGCTTAATTATAATTTCAAGAAAATTGTTAATAATACACTTTGCTACACTTTTATTTAACACATTGTTTTATCAATTAAAAATTATTAAAATTATAAAATTCTGTGCGACTCACTTTTTAAAATGTCACATTCGTGATCAGATAATTTTTAATGAATTTTAACTAATAATACAAATTATTAAAAATAATATGTTAAAGAATATATACTAATACTCTTATGATTTCTAAGACTAATAAAGTGAAAATATATTCCAAGAGAACATGGATAAGGAAACATACAACAAACCTGGTCTTCAGATATTTCCATTATTTGCGTGAGAAGTGGGTGGTACATTTAGTGGACTCTGACGGTTTTCCCTCATGATTTTAGTTAATGGTGGAGAATCTTTTGTAATAGCAGCTGAACATTTAAGGTTGTCATGTGAGTATAATGCGCATTATGTTGTCTAGTTTGGTCAAATCAGGTGATGATAACTAGGTTGCTGCGACGAGGGATGCAATGTGTTCTCGGACTGACCTAGAATCCTAGATACTACAACAACGGGAATCAAGTTTTAATAGACATTGCAACAGAATATGTTCAATTTTGTAATTAATTTCTGGTTAAAAATTGTTACTGTGATTCATCGCTTGATATCAGAGTGAAAATGGAAAAAAAAAAATTATTAGCAAATCGGGAGTGCTCCGTCGGAGAGAATCAAAATCTTTGTAGAGGTATATATATACAAAATCCTCCGATCGATCCTTTTGCAGGATGAGCTTCGAGTTCTTGAATATATTGATTCACTCACTGCTATTCAAAGTCACTGATTTCTGAACTATAATGTCATGATTTTCATGTATTGTCAACTACCAAGTGAAAACACCATTCATATGTCACCGAAAAATATTATAGACTAGTATGCAATTTCGCATCAAGTTGATCAATGTAAAAAGTTATACCGACACTTTCTGATCAACATGTTTCTGCAACAAAATATCCATTGGCCGTTGCACACCAGCGTAAGTGCACCAATTTGAATGGCGGATTGATTACGAAATTTGTAAAGCCATCAAATAAAAAGTGCAAATAAGAAGGAGTTTCTAGCTCTACAAAACATTAGGATATATGTGATATCACACAGCTGGAGGGAAAAGAGGTGCATTTAATGTGCATCTTTATGAAAATTTTAATTCAGATTGTTGAAGCAACGTGGCTATTTTTTATTGATAAGGATATTGGTGTGGTATTCAATTGTTGGACAAACCCTTCTTAAGTAGACGTTATGCCTGGGAGTAGGTTGTTGAGTTTTCTTTAGATCTTTAATCAATGTTGAGTAAGGTATGAAGTTGAGGATTAAACTCTTAATTAATTACAAGAGAGATACATGATATCGCAAAGATATTTAGTAAGTTGAATCTACAAGTAATTTATTAATGCATGTCACTGTCATGGCAAACTTATATCCAGACTATGTTATACTTGATAGTAGTATTAAATTTTCCTAGTTTAAATTCTGACATTCAAGAAATCTTGTTATAGGGATTGGTTAAACCTAGTCTTTTGTTAACAGGATATTTATTGTTGTCACTAGTGCAAATAGAGGCTTTTACGTCACCTAAATGACGTCGGAAAATGGCACCACCGACGTTATAAAAGCGCGGTGACATGCACCGTAATTTTAGTAGATTATTTACGTCGGTCTTAATTGGATCCGACGTAAATTTTAACATCTACGTCGGCTAAGCATTGTGTCCGACGTAAATAAGCTGTTAAATGGTGCCCGCGCTCAACGTAAGTTTCAAAATCCCCATTAGCTAAATTTCAAAATTTCATCCCGCGCCTCCTTCTTCTAGTTTTCCTTTTCCCACGCTTCCTCCTTCTTCTTCTTTTTTTCTTCCTTCTCCCGCGCCTCCTCCTTCTTCTATGAGGTAGCATCTTCAAGTTTGTGTTTTTCTGTTTCTGGGCTTTTCTATGAGGTTCTATGACGTAAATGATGTTTTTTTCATCTGTTTGTTTCGAGTTTTTGAAGCTGGAGAAGGAGAAGGAAGTGACCAAGTCTACCTGACCAAGTCTGCTGCACTTGTTTTCTTTTTTTTTATTTATAAATTTTTTATGACTTTTTACGTCGGACCTTGGCATGTCCGACGTAAATTTACGTCAGTTTTCGCGCTCCGACGTAAATTTACGTCTCCCGCTTCTACGTCGGACATTTTTCTGACGTAAAAACCCCTAAACTAACTGACGTAAAATGTGTATTATGTACTAGTGTGTTTTGCTTGAAATTAATGTTAAATTTTTGTCAATACTCCACTTCTTTCATTAAGTGTGTCACAAATAGGAAAAACTCAAAAAAGAATGAAATCAAGACAATTAAGGAATAAAATGGAACAAATGTTAAAGATATGATGATTGTACTTTTCTAATACATGATCATGCTTCAAGAGAAGCACACCTAAATGCATGACTATGTTATGAAGCATGACTGCATGCTTATTAACATGCACGACTGTGCTTCCTTTAAAGCACCCCAAGATAAGAAAACCATGCCCTTTTCACTTATGAAGCACCCCTGTGCTTACTCATAAGCATACATGCATGTGCTTCTTATCTTAAAGAAACATGTCCAAGTTATTTATTAAGCACAATCGTACTTGTGAGATGTATGGTCGTACTTATGAGTTTGTCCTAAGTTTTTACTATAAATAGAGATATTCAAATTGTAATCATTCATTTTTTTAATCCAATTTTTAGTTTTAGTTTTATATTTTCTCTATTTTTTGGTTCTATTATTGTGATGTAATTGTTTCTCATGAATCTTCAACGATGAATTGAATACATTTCTTCTTAATTATCGTATTATTTTAGTATTTTCAATCCTTATCTTAATTAATTGAAAGTTATATGATTAAACTTTTTTATTAACAAAACCTTAAAATAATTAAATTATTTGAAAATTGCATGATCAAATTTCTTTAATTTCTAATTGAATTAATTTATTAATTCGCTTTTGCGTGTTTATACTTTGTTTTTAAAACAAAACCTCTTATGATTAATTTGAAATTTTATTAAAATAAAGTTTGTTAGTTTTCTGGAACCATAAGGTTGTCAGTAATTTCATAAGTAAGTTGACGACAATGTTATATAATTCATGAAATTCATCTTGGGGGAAGGGGCAATAGTAAGTCACAACCTTGGGGATTTCAATCTTTTGAATCTCAATCCATATATTTTCTATTTTAATTTAATTGTTATCTCAAATCAATTTTTGTCCATTCAAACTACTAAACATCATAACTTGGTTGGTAATTGCTTAAACCTAGTCCTTTGGATTTGATATATGAACTTTGTCCATTATTATTATTGAGGTAAGATACACTTGCCTTTAAGCACTTTTCACACGCAACAGTAGGATCAAGTCACTTATATTGCTCATTATTGTTGTAAGAGATTGCATAAGTGAATGCTTGACAATGTATATAATTATGATGTTATGCAAATGATGGGTTGATTGTGGAGTCGTTCATATGCTATGTTGAATTGTTTGTGAGTTGCATAGTTGTGGTATAAGTTGAAATTGTTGTTATGTGGTTGAGTTGTTTACCTTTTAAAGGTTGTTGCATACCATGTTGAGATGGTGTTGTTGTGTTACGCTTATACTATATTGCAAAGTTGTATTGTTCAAGTTGATTTGTTGATAATAAGTTGTGTTGATTAAGTCTTGTCTATATGCTGATATGATATGATGATCAGTTGTGTAATTTTATTGTAAGTTGAAAGTTGATAAGTTGTGAAATTGTATTGTTGATGATGTATGTTGATTCATGTTGCTATGATGCGTTGTTGTTTAAGTTGTGCTGATATTAAGAAGTTGTGTTGTGAGTGTAGTTTTGGTCACGTGGTGTTGGAAAGTTGCATTATGGATATACTAGGTTGGTATGTTGAGTTGTATATTATGTTGATATGGGACTTGATTAACCTTAAACTGTTGTTGAGTTGTGATGTTGAAGTTGTGTCATAATTAGTGTATTATTTGCTTCTATATTATGTGGCTGTTTTCAATCTCAAGTTTCTTCTTGCATGTTTCCTTATGATTGGATTATGATGATCATTTTTGGTATGAGGAAGGTAGGAATAAGCTGGAGACAAAGTTTTGTTTTGAGGTCATGCTAGTTGATGGCAAAATTGATCTTTTGGACTATTTTGATGTAGTTGTTTTAGTAGTATTATTTGACCAATAACCTGCTGTGTTTATATTTTAGTTTTTGGAATTACTTTAGATATATTACAAATATGAAATCAACTGGAATCATAAATATTGTTCAATGGAATTACATTAGATCCTGTACATATATTATGACATGTATTTTTAGGAATTGTTTGCATATTAATCTTATGTAGTTGATTTTTTTTTTCATTACAAGTAACTGAATTGTATAAAGTGTGGTAACCTGACGGATCGTTATAATGCACATACTAAAATATTAATTTATACTTGCATATAAAATTGACTTCATATTTTTGTGTGTTATTTTTGACAATTTTAACCCTTTAAATGAAAAAAAATTACACAAAAATAATTAATAAAAGTCACAATAATATGAAATCGTGTTTTGCACATATTATATCCTACTACTTTGCGTGTTTTCAAAAGAGGTATGAAGTTTTTTTTTCTCTATTAGCTTAGATAAAAATAATACTTAAGGAATTTGTATAAATAAATTGGCAGAAGTTAATTAATTCAAAATATTTTTAAAATAAGTTTGTTGATTAATTTAAAATGGTTAAAATATTTTTTAGGCTCTATAGTTTATTTAATTTACTTTTTAGTCTTTATAATTTAAAATATACATTTTTAGTCATTATACTTATCTTTTTAAATCTTTTTTAGTTTATATAATTTAAGATAAATATTTTTAATTTTTATATTTCCAATTTTTGAATTCTTTTAGCTGTTGTTATTAATTTCTTTGTTAACATTGTCACTTTTGTGTTGAAATTACAAGGGTATTTAACTTTGTTTTTCTTATGTTGAATTTATCTTGTTAGATTTATCCTAAATTAAGTCTCGAGGTTTTATGCTTCTTTTTTATCCTCACATGTGACGCTCATTTATTTTTATCTTTACAAAATTGAAGACATTTATCATGTTAAGACAAGAAAGAAGACGTTACAAAAAAAATTTAATGACAAAAAATATAAAGAGAAATAAAAAATGTAAGTATAGAAATTAAAAAAATATATATTGAATTATAGGGATTAACAATTATTAATAAAGATAAATATAGGGAATCAAAATGATTATTTAACTATTGAACTAAAAAATAAAGTAAGTAAAATTATAAGAATTAAAAAGGTATTTTAACCATTTAAAATTTTAAAAAAATCAAACATAATTTAAATTAGATAATTTAAATATAAGATAAATTTATTTTTAATTTTTCAAATTTAAAATGATCTTTAAAAAATCATGTTTTAATTTTTATACTCAAATTTTGTTAAAAGATCTATCAAATACCGTCGCATAAAAATCTAATTATTATCCTGATAGTTATGTTAAATTTGTCATTATTATATATGTTATTGATGATCTGAGAAATTAAAATATTTTTAAATTTGTGAGATTAAAAATATATTTAAAATTTTAAATTAATAACACAAAAATATAGTTAATTAATTAATAGAATAATATTGGATTTATGTATGCTCATCAATGAAAAATTGACTTGACGTTATTATTCGTTTATCAATATTTGTCGTCATTCTAAATTTCTATGTTCACGTAGGCTTTACTTTACAGCTATGATGGTTGACCACATAAATGGATAATATATCTTTAGGCCGTTAAACCTACAGTGAAAAGCACGTTTTCCATAATATGAAATTTAATTTTATTGTTTAAACCTCTCAATGTCAAGATCAAGCGCAACATTTTGTACAACTATTCTTTTTAACTTGTTATATATATATATATATATATATATATATATATATGTATGTGTGTGTCTTAAAATATGCTTCAAAACGAAAAGAAATAACATTTTGCATGTTGTCCAATTTTTAGAGCTGACAAAGTATTTTCAAACGTAATTTTATGTATCCTCAAGTCAAGAACTCACAACACTTGTAAGTTAAGAAATAAAAGCGAAAAAGGTTTATTTTTCATATAGTAGTGAACTCGTGCTGATGCATTTGAATAAGGGTTAATTTAGTTTTATCTAAAATACATTCAAAAATCAGTTTTTAATTCCTAAATAAAAGTTTGGTCGGTTACGGTTCCTCAACTTTTTTCCATTAAGATTTTTTGTCTCTAAACTAAAGTTTAACTGGTTAAGATCCTTAAATTTTTTAAAAAAAATGATTTTTACTCCTAAACAAAAGTTTGAACCCCATTAATTTATTTATTTAACAGAATTTTAGGGGTTAAAAACTAGATTTTAAAAAAGTTTAAGAACCTTGATCAGTCAAACTTTTGTTTAGACTCTAAAATACTTAATAAGAAAAAAAAAATGAGAGACATCCACCAGTCAAACTTTTGTTAAGGGACTAAATTAAAGTTTTAGAAAGTTTAGGACTAAAATATAATTAATCTTTTAAAATAATCAACAGTATTCATTTTGGTTTAAGTTAGCGCGTAAGATAAAATTTAAACCATTTAGCTTTAATCAGGCTTATTTGATTTTAATTTTATAAGTTTTTCGGTTAATCTGATTAGGTTGGATTAGCCTGAATTATTATACTTTAAAATTCACTTATAACCCATATAGCTTTGTGAAAATATAATTTTAATTTTTTTAAAAATATTACGGATTTAGAGTTCTAATTTTTACTATTAAGTAATTAGTTCACCACTTACATGTTATTTAAAATAAAATAGAAAATGTTGACAAGTATTTATAAGTGATATTATTTGTAATTTTTTTATTAATAGAAATTATAATGAGGATAACAAGATTCAACTTAAGGACATTGTGCATACTACAATTACTACTTTGACCATCCACCATTGGACAATCCTAGTGGTTCATACTACTTAAAACTAGTTAGTTGCATAAGAAAATAGTAGTATTAAAAATAAAAACAAAATCATCTTAATATAAAGATTATAAATTTTAATTAAAATAAAAGAAACATAACATATCTATAGTATAAAAAAAAAAAAAAAAAGTAAACACCTAATCTAATCCCTAAAAAAGAATAGTCATGGTTGATAGATCCCTAAAATATTTTTTGCGACATTTGAATCTTTAAATTTTAATTTCATTATGCAAGTTAGTCTTTCCGTTATACGTAATTACCAATTAACTTTGTTTGTTTCATGATTAATTAACAATTAATTGACATGTATTATCTCTTTTAATTGGCATGTAACAGCTGCAAGTTAATTAAATTTAGACAAGTGGTAAAGTAAGGTTTAATTTTTAATTTAATTTAAAAATAACTGAAGTGATGTTTAAATGACTTATTTCTTTTAACCCACTCTTATTAAAATAATAAAAACATTCATATTTGGATTGATGCATTCTTACTCAAGATATTTCAAAATGATCACTTTGCTAAATCCTAATTTAAGATTTACAATCCTAAACTTATAGTTAGAATAGACGAAGAAACTAAGAATGATTAAGACAAAAAAAAAATCAATTATAGGAACCCCTATGAAATCCAACAACAACTTTCTATTTTAACTAAAACACTCATGGCTATAATATTTAAACATGGTAAAGTGTCTATTATTGATTGAAAAGTATCAAAACCTTGTATTATAGTCTATATTAGATTATTAGGAGAGGGAATAACTAACTGGGAGAGAGAATACGTGTCAACGTGACACTTAACTATTAATTTTTTAAAAAATTAACAAAATTAATAATTGAGTATAATAGAAGGACTAACTTGTATAATAAAAATAAAATATAGAGACCTAATTATGCCACAAAAATCTTTTAGGAACTTATTGACCACCCCTACCATCTTTTAGGATCAAATTAAATGTTTGCACAAAAAACATAATATTATTCCTTACATGAAAGTGAACATGGCTAAGTAACTATTAGGTAATGTTGCTTACAAACATGTCAACATTTTCTATTTAATCTTGAATGACATGTTAATGTTAAATAACATTTGCTTTATTTTGAAAACTAAAGAGACCAAATTTACATTAAAAATTTTGGAAAATCGAAATTGTACAAAGACCAAAAATGAATTTAAGTCTTTAATTAAATTTTTATTCTATGAAATTTTAATTAATATATTTTAAAAGAACTATATTCTTCAATAATTTTATACAATAGTTAAAGTCAATTCCAAACATTAATTTTATGAGTGAGTTTAGGTGTATACTAACTAAAGAATAACCTACTAGGATTGGCTTACTTGTGGGGAGTTTGGGTGTAGTTTACATAAAATCCTAAGTTTTAATCTTCTATTTTCAATATTAAAAAAAAAAAAAAGACACACTGAATTAATGGTGACTGTTCACATGATTATTTAGGCTTACATGAGCAAGAATTTAAATATAATATTCTAGGAAATTAAAGGATTAATATTGTCTCAAGAAGATAAACTAGCCATGAGGATCTTATATATACTTTTATTGTTGCTTTTTGTAAACTAAAATTTTATTTTGATAATTTATACAGACATTTGATGTAAATTTTTGTTAGGCAAATCATTGTGGCAAAATTTTAATTCTAATCAAAGAACACACCAAAAAGTTGTTGTTATATATACGTTTTTTGTCCTTTATTCAGTAAAAGAGGAAATTTAAAAAGCCACCTGATATGGTGGAAAAAAATTCAAGGTTTAGATTCGATTCACAACGTACCAACCGACAAAGTCAAATCAGAATTGTCCAAAACTAAAATTGGGTATGTTAATCAAATGTTTCATAATAAACCCTTTAAAAACTGATCATCCAACAAAACACCATGTCCCACGATAACATTAATTAATAACAAAAGGACAAAAAAGCAAAGAAAATAGAAACAAGAACATTGATATGGCAGGTATGATAAATTCTTATCTTATACGGAGGGGATTTGAGGATCCTAAAATACATCAGTCAAACGGGAAGCGATCTGAAACCCTAATAACCAAACCTTTGAGACCCCAAAGCAGATTACGATGAATCCTTTAGACCCAAGTGATGAGTTGTACTTTCAGATTTCACCTGATGATAATTTTTATTCCCTGCCAATAATCCAAACAGCCCCAGAAAATCAGATCTTGCATGATCCTGTGATAGATGGCAGTGGTCTGACTCAGTGTACAAGTCAAATGGGAATTAAGGACAAGCAGAGAGAAAAATTACCTGCTTGGGGAAGAGAAGATTATAAGATCACCACCACAGATGAAAACAAGAAGTGGATGCACAGAGAGACTGAGAAACAAAGAAGGCAAGAAATGACACGGCTTTGCACCACCTTTAGATCTCTCCTGCCTCTTCAATATATTAAGGTAACACCATAGACACACAACTACTTATAATATGTTTAGATACAAGTTATAAGGTTTTTAGATACAAATTATAAGGTTCTTGAGAACTACTTTACTGAAATAAAGTTTTTTTTAAAAAAAAATCTCAAAAACAATTATAAACTTATATTTATTACCAATTTTATCTGAAGTTTTCCACCTCATTAGTCATATATATTCAAGGGTTTGAATATGTATATATATACTTTTTTCCTTTTCTTGTTTGACTGCTTGAATATGTATATCTTGATGACCATCATCAGGGAAAGCGCTCAATTTCTGATCACATGCATGAGGGTACAAATTACATCAAGTACCTTCAAAATAAGGTGAAACAGTTGCAAGCCAAGAGGGATGAGGTTGTGAAGTTGTCTAAATTGTGTCGTGTTGGTTCTGAGAGTGAAAGCTTAACTAGCCATCTTCCAATATGTGTCGTTGTTCATCCTTGTGCTGAAGGTGTTCAGATTAAGTGTAGTTATAGCTTCAGGAAATATGTGTGTCCTTTGTCAAGAGTGCTAAGCGTAGTTCTTAAAGAAGGGCTTGATGTGGTCAACTGTACTTCCACCAAAACAGATGATGACAGGTTCATACACACTGTCCGGTCAGAGGTACCATATGTCAGATTTATTAATAATCATTTGTCACTAAGCAAGCAGTAATTATGATGTCTTTAGTTCAAATTTTGGTTATTGATATCTATTACTAATCTTCCTTTGAAGGTTCCGCATGGATCTAATTACACTGAACTGCAAAGAAAGCTTATCCAAGCAATATCATCCTCAAGTAACATTATATAACTTTTACAAAGTTTTCATTTTTTTTCTTTGATTTTTGTCCAAAGATTCATATGACAACATTTGTTACAACTGTAGGTTTGGAGAGACTGTCTGGAAAACTGCTGATATCATGAGAAAGGTGTGTTGTGTGGTGAAGTTTCTGATCTCATAGACAATTAACATCAACTCAGTCATTTGTACATTTTAGTGTACCACTACTTGCTATATCTGCCGTGTAGAATCCAGTTGAAACAAAAGTTCGCAATGGTCATGCAGCATTCCATGAGATTAATCTCTTTTTTGTGGAAGTTAGAACCATGAATGTCATGCATAAAATTTTTAGTTGAATGTTTTCCAATCACTTTTGATAAGCAATGTTTTGCATTAATTCTCCCTCGCTTACAATGTTTCGTAATCATTTTTGATAAGCAATGTTTGGTGGAGGAGTGTTATTAATTAATCACTCACTCGCCGGTAATACACTTCTTTTATCGCACCTTTCCACTATTAGTTAAATTTTATTGAAATTACAATCTAAATGAAACTTATTTAATAAGAAGTAAGATGTATAGTTTATTATTATTATTTCGAATAAGAAGAAAGTATGTTTTTAATATTTCTCATTTTAAATGTATATTGTCAATTAATAGTTGGCTATAGTTGATAACATTAAAACTTTTTCTGATATACGCTGCCACTATAATCAATTTGCTTAGTTTGCATAAGTGACTATAATAATTGGAATAATACAGCAGCTCAATGAACTGTAAGAATATATATCCATTTATATGTGCTTTGATTTATGTCTTGGCATATTTCCCTACCGCTTAGTTTTGGTATCAAAGTTAAGTTGGTTTCTACTTTCTTCCCACACAGATAAATTTAGTTGCATTTTGTAACAGTTACAGTTTTTGTAATTACTTCATCTCATCCTATCACCTTTTTCACATTTGATCAGGATACTTTGATCTAACTATGCTCGAGTACATCATTTCATATATATATATATATATATATATATAT